TTAAATGATTTGCCACAATTCACTAAGCTAATAAACAGCAGGGCTGGGATTTGAATTTGGACTCCCTGCTTTTTATAAGTTCAGATCTTTCTGACATACCACGTTGCTTTTCTCCATATAAGAGCAAACATAAGAAGCATTCTTGCTAACATACTACTGACTTACCAGAATTGCTCAATACATACCCACAGAACATTTATTCAAACCTCCATTTGCTATCTCCTAACCCTGTTCCTAATAACTCCTAATTTGTCCCCATTGCTACCTTCAAATTCACTTCACAATCTTTTCTTTCTCCTTTTGCAGTCTACCTCTGACCTGACCTGGTAGAATGTCTCCCTAAATCTTCATCCATCCACTCCACAAATACATACTGAGCCCCCACTACATGTGAAATACTGGGCTATAAAATGTGAAGGAGACAAGTGTGGATAATCTCAAGCACTTAACCAGCTCTTAGTAAATATCTGCTGAATGGACCTTACCCTCAAGGAGCATACAGTCTGCTAGGGGTACATGTACCATGCACATCTGTTGCTACTGTAAACTCTAAAAAAGGACTAAGAACCAACTCTTATCAATTTGTCAAAGTTTAATCCAAACTTCTTCTTGTTTTCTCTCTTTGAACAGTTATAGGTACACAGCATATGCTTAGTTTTTACAAGTTAACTTCCAGGAAGGGATGGATGAGAAATGGCAATAGAAAACAAGAGAAAAGGGAGGATATAGTAACCAAACTCAGAAGAAAAGCCTGGCAATTTACTTCCAGAAAATCAGCCATTGAAAACCCTATGGAGCACAGTTCTGCAGCAACTGGTATAGTAACCAAAAAGAGGAGGGAGTATATTTAGATAAACAGAAACAGTAAAAAAACAAAATATTGCCATCTGGGGAATAAATCATAATGTAAAACGGGTAGATTATGGAAAAATACGAATTTTGTCAGTAGTCCCTTAAACAAAGACCTTGGCTTTCTGGACCCTTTGCTGTGAATCAGAATGTCTTAATTCTTATGAATCAGTGGGAGGAGGCATTTCCTCTCTGTCTTCCAGTTCACTATAAATCGGGGAATATATGTTTAATTCTTCATAAAGACGATCTTCTGGAACCTGACAATGGAAAAAAAAAATTATTCAATGTCAGTCACCAAGAATTTTCTATCACAAGAAGACCTGTTCAAGAGGTTTATCTCATTTGTGTGTGTGTGTTTCTGAATCTCATACTTTCCCCCATTACATACTAATTATGTATGCCTCTATCTCCAACAAATCAAGCCAGATCGGTGGCCAAGTGGACCCAAGTGGCCAAGTGGCCCCAAGAGAAATCTTGTCAGTCAATGAAAAGTTGGTAAGACTATTATGTGTCTGGACTTTGCTGCATCTGCTATATTACTTATCTTTGGAAGAAGACCATCAAAAAGGGCAGTTAGATTGAATACTTCAGGAAAGTGGACAGATGAAGAGGGCGTTTTATCTGTCAGATTTAAATAAGTGTCTGTACATCAAGTATTGACTGATAAAGAGTATTCCAGGGTTAATTCTTTTAATTCAAATTCAACTAGTATATTTGAGGAGGAATTTTCATATCACAATTCAGTACACACAAACACAAACACACCTTTGAGGAATGACAATAATTTGTTGATTATTTTTTTCACAACTACCTGGTGTTATGAGAAGTAGAGGGATTAAAGAACAACCGTTTAGTTACACCACATTTAGTTACAGCACATTGTGCTGTTATCATTTGCTTATGTGTTTCCACTCTCTTTTGAAAACTCTATGAGAACTGGCACCAAATCTACCATACTCACTTTTAAATGTGGTGATCAGGGCTAGAGCAGTATTTGTCATATTGTAGATTCAATATCATGAAGTCAGAATTTTGATGGC